TCCAGATAAGTTGATACACTGAGAATCAATCAAAACGAAAAAGAATTTGGTTTCTCACGGTGAAAGATACTACTATCATGACCAAGAAACTACTGCTGAATGTGCATGACCTTCATGCCCTTAGGTGGGATTGCAAAGTTATAGCTTCTAGGCACAGCGTGCACCTGCTCCAATGATCTGCTCATCCGAAACATGTTACCATGAATCAAAAAGGGTGACCATGGATTGTTGAGCTATGAGTCTATTAAGTTTTACTGATTTAGTTTCTCAAAGAGTACACCTTTGTCTGGGTTTATTAGTCATGTATAAAGTCACTAATTTTGCACTTTGTGACACATTATCCCAGGTAAGTCAATGTCTCTGAAACATCAAGCTCAACACAGACTGCAGAGAATGATCTGCAGTTGTATTTATTGTACTTCCTGGTCTGAATACATTTGAGCAAAACTAATGGAATCAACCAAAGTAACATGTATTAATCACAGGGGATTCAGACAGTAGTGAGTGAGCTTCTTGTTGTGATTGCTCCATGTAAGTGGCCTGACATGACATCCAGCACACTGAGTGTTCAGTAACCTATTTGCACATTATCCATACAACACATTAATAACTAGTGTTGTTGTTGTTGTTGTTTTTTCATTAAAATGCTGGGGAAAATTCTTAAACTTTACCTTCAAATCTCAACATTGTAACCCATGCCTTAATATTTTCTAGTTCAATCATTTTTGCCTTACTTTTCTTGTATGTTGAGTGAATTAATAATCCAATCATATGATGCTGCTTTGATTGTAAATCCTTCTTTACTTTGTCACTTTTTACTATATTTAACCCATGTTGTTGTGGGGATTCTCAACGAATGCTTTGACTGTTTTTATTGGTTGATGAATAAATATGTTGACTTACTCTTGTTTGTTAACATTTGTACATAAATGGACCTTTCTCTTGAAGCTAAAATACGATCTTGTCCATGTCATTGTTTATAATGACAAGGTGGAATATGAAACCTGGTCAATGTTTTAAATCTGGTAACACTGCATGAGTAGATTCATTTGTGTTTTTCTCTATATAATGAACTTAAACCAAGCCAGTGGTGCTGTTGTCACGTTTTACAATATATCAACTAAGGATAGAATTATGAAAAATTAAAAAAATATAGCAATACAAAAGAAGCTCAGAACAATTTATAAACAACGACAACATGCCTATTTATACTTCTTAAGTATCAAGTTTCTATTTATCGCTTAAAATCTAAAGTGAAGGTCCAAACTATGCTAAATTAACTATTATTTCAATCACAAATTTGTTTAAAAGATTGTTAGATTATTAGTTGATATTATTAAAATAGCATGAATAGGAATGTTTAAAATAGACAGTGAAAGATAACCAAAATAAAAATAAAACAAAGATGGCACAGAAATTACATGAAGTTGGACAACTCTTTAAATGAATCTAAAAAGGTTAGCTAAAACAGGCAGATACTACGGTGAGTAGCTTAAAGTTCTGCTAAAAATGGCTGAGACATAATTCATAGAGAAAAGGGCTGGATTATCACCTTGATTAACACTTTGGGGTTTGATGGCTTTGACTTGAGTGGGGTCAGCTTGAACTAGGTGATGTGAAGGAATGTGCTGCTCATGCTTGTGTTGATGCGTCTCCATGGTGACCAGTGAGCAGCACAGTCGAAGGTGTTTGCAGTCAGTTCTAGTTTCACAGCATCATATCTTAAAACAGTGTCTTGATTTGTGGAGTTAAAATAGAACTGAAGGGTTCTACCTACTCTGAACTACAGGACATGGACCTGACGCCGACTCCTCACTCAGTAAAGCGTTGGCAGCTCCGTGGAACTGACTATGAGCCACCAAGACCTGCATCTAGAACCGTCTTCAGCTCCTGGACTCCACTGAATAACAAGCAGAGCAACCTTCAGGTCAAACACACATGCGCATCACCATCTTTATGAAATAGACAATATGTTTTTATTTCATAAAAGCCACTAGGTGACAGTAAATTGCAAAACATCACAAACCACAAAATGGGAACGTTGTCATTTTTGGTTAACTTGACAATCGAAATTACCGAAAAATGCTAAAGAAATAAAAATTTACTGGATACTTTACAGTCATATAGCTTTAAGACAATGACTAGGATAAGTAGAAGAAATAAAGTGGCAGGTAGGGCTTAATAAATAATAAATTAATATCCAAAAAATAGTTACATTGAAAGCAACTGGACAAAGTAGGTTTTTTGAAGACATTTCACCTCTAAGGTTTTACTGGATTGATAAATAAAAATTCTACTGAAACTGATTAAAAAGTATAGTATGAATTAGTGATTCTATGTGTATTTCCGCTGTGTACTACATACATTGACAGTAAAGTTGAACCTTGCATTTACTATAGTGATAGAAACAGTGTTGAATTTTCTGTTTGAGACCCCAGCTATTCGTTTGCAGTTATTTGAGGAGAGGACCACCCTGGTGCTGCACTGGTTCCATCTGTGGACTGACAAACAGAGGAAACACCTGCTGCTGTCTCTGCTCCAGTGCTGCACCAAGTCACAACTCAAGTATGACCAATACTACTGCTTACATCACCAATGGCTTCATTCACTATTCATCTCTACCATAGTTCTACCACAGAACTTTGCTATGACCATCTCCTGATCCTCTGAACAGGTACTGTAGAGACATTCTGATAGAAACGGTTCCTGTCACCAAGGTGGACTTCACCTCTGTCCTGCCCCGGTTCCTCTCTCTGTATGTGATGTCCTTCCTCTCTCCCCGTGACCTCTGTGCTGCGGCTCAGGTCAGCTGGCACTGGATGTTCCTGGCTGAGCAGGTGAGAAGCTCAGACAGCAGTGATATTTAAGGTTGTGGTTCCAATGATCCTGTCACTGTCTTCTCCTCCTCAGGACTGTATCTGGGCGAGCAGGTGCATTCGAAGAGGCTGGTTCCTTCCTTATGCTCCAAGAGAAAAGGAATATGGAGCTTGGAAGAACCACTACGTCTCCTGCATGTCCACTTTGGACTGGCTGACTCCCAGGGAAGCAGCTCAGCAATATGGACACCTTATCCAGCAAAGTATGAAACTGACTGAAGAAGAGGAGGAGAGGAAAGACGGGAGGAGGTTCAGGCAGATGCTCAGGGATAAGCTTCATGAAGAAAAGGGTAGGAACAAAATGACCAGGTTGTAGTAACAATAATAGAGCCTTTTTTTTATAATCACCCTTACCTTCACAGGACTTATTTTAAGGACCAGGAGAGCCTGGGGCAGTTACAATAAGGGTGGAGGAGGGAGCACCAAAACCCTGAGACCAAACTCTGCGATGAGTCTAATGAGTTCATGGCCTTCTCTGTCCCGACTCAGCCTGGATGAAGGACAAGTCACATCTTCTGCTCAGAGCATTCAGGCCTCAGTCTCCATCAGGTGACCCTCATATTGTAAAAGTGACTGATTGTGTGCAAAAGCACTGTGTTATATAGATCATATACTTTGTATTTTTCTAAACCATGGAAAAACAAATATTAAAAAAGTAAATTACATTAAATTAGTTAACTAACAGGAAACTGTGGTTTGTCCCAAAACCCTGAAACCCTAACAGCCTTGTGTTCTCTTTCTTAGTGGAGGTGTGAACAAAGCCTGTGGAGCACTGACCTCCTTTGTCTGCAGCCCTCAGATGTCTCAGACAGTCCATCACACATCACCTGTACTGTTACTAATGATCTCCAACAGAATACCTGCTTATGAAGTAAGAAGTATACGCACAGATACCCTAATCTAAAGTAGAACAAAGACACTCCTATAGTGGAAGAAAAGGTATGTTTCTACTTTTTTATCTAGTTGCTGCTGAGTGGCGTTAAGGCAGAAGTCATGGTGGTCCTGTATGATCACAGAGGGACCCTGAAAGATCTGGTAACCCAGGTGGAGAGGGCGACTTGTGGGCAGAGTTTTCAGAGGATAGGTGTCTTAACTCCAGGAGGAACAGAGGAAGTTCATTTGCTACAAAGTAAGAATTATTTATTTTGTATTTTTCTCTGACTTGAATTTGACAATACTTATTAGTAGAAACAAGAAATACATCAATTAAGTAATGTATGCAGTGGCTATAACTTAGTTGGATAAATAAATAAAAATAGTTAAGAAATATCACCATACCTTGCTAAGAAAAGCAAACAAAAAGGTGTTATCACGAAGCTCGCTTAAAATACAGCTTGAAGGAGTATCAGAATAAGACCCAGAAATTGCTTGAATTTATCAAAAAATATGCCATTAATAACAAAAATAATTACATAAAACAAATAAGCTATAGCCAACATTTGACAAAGAAATTAGCATTAGCTAATGCTAACAAACACTGTTTCCCAAAATAAAAAAGAAATATTTAAGATAAGCCAAAATCATTTAAAAGTTAAATTGGTGGAATGCCAAATGTTGACCAAAAATGCCTACAAAGTTAAAATAATATACAACAAAATAACTCTGCTTTGAAAATGTGGACCCTAAAGTAAAGTATCATAAACAAACCTGCTTAACACCCCTAGGTTTACTAACTGCGGCAATTTAACTCATTTTCTAAATAACCTTTAGCCTTCCTTTTTAAATTAAACTTAATATAACCTAATAGTATTTTTTTTAAATTTTACTCCACTTTGATTACTATTATTATTGTTATCATTGGACCCAATATGGGCTCGACTGTAACCCTTCAGATAGTACCATGTCAGAAAAGACAGTGCTGAACACTGATCATCGGGAATTCTGGGAAAAACTGAGTCGCTGGGTGGCTGGCTCTGAGGACAAGGGATGGATTGACATCTTCTCCCCATTGGCTGCGTCTGGTAAGTGAACATTAGGGCACACAACCAAGTCCTTGTAGTTTTTATAGTATTTTCTAAGTCTTATTTTCTCTCATAGCTTCAGGAGTCACTCTAATCCAAACTCTGTCCACTCTCACTGGACTGGAGGTTTGTGCCCCCATGGGTCTGGCAACTGGAAGTTTCCAGAACAGTATGTTGACCTTCTGTCAGATGAATAAAATCATCAAAATCACCAGTAAATCTTGTCTACAACATGGTAATGAGCAAAAGTCAAACAAATCAAAGAAAAAAAAAGCATTCAATTTTTCCATGAGAGGACCAGTAGCTAAACATTACTGAACAGTTACAGTAAAAGATATGTTGAATACTTACCTTGGTATTTTAAATACAAAGTTATGATATGTATCATTGTTCATAATGGTTTCAATACAAGACCATGTTCTTCGTCCTCCAGTTTTAGGTGAGTGGACAGACAGCAGCATGTTCACCGGTCAGTGTCAGGATCACTCAGCATCTCCAGCCCTTCAGTATGTGTGGAACAGTGTCCTGCAGAGCTGGTGCACCCAGTCCAGGTGGGTGGAGGAGGCTCTGGAGGAACTGAGGGTCTACCTTGGACTACAGCTGAAGAAGATCAGCTCCCAGGGCAGAGGCCGAGCGCTAGGTGAGCTTCACACACACACACAGTCGATTCACATGTACCTGTCAATATCTGAAACATCCCTAAACTGTCTACAGGGAATTTTTTGTGGGAGAAAATTCACCTAGAGGAAATATTGGTGTCCAAACAGCTAAGTGAGGCTCTCACTGAGGGACTGACTATTCTCACTGCACAGAAAGAGGTTTGAATAACATGGAAATATACGAAAAAAATTAACCAGTTCTTCAAATGAGCTGTACATTTATCGTTGTCTTCCCTCAGACCAGACCCCTGGAGTTTCTTGCATCATTTCTGACAGGATGGAGTGAAAGGAAGGACTCTGAAGATGGAACCACAAGAGCAGCTGATTTCTCATTGCCACTGCCAGCCCCACGGGGAAACCAATCTGATCTGCCTCTAGTGTGTACACTTTGTATATGAATTTCCCCCAGAAAAAGTGAAATTAGTATTTTTGTTAAGATGTCAAGAATGTTGTGTTTATTGCTAGACATTGCTGGACTGGAGAGGTTTGATTACAAAAGAGCTGCACCACAGTGAAGGCCTTTATCTGGGGAAGCTGAGCGCTGTCGTAAAGGTGAGTAGACATGAGAATGCCATGTTTAAACAGTGACTTCTGGGTATTTGATATAAGATGGTTTATATTTTCCTAATAAGACAAATTATCTTTTTAATTTTTCTATTCTTTCTAATTTTTAATTATTTCTCTTCATCCCTTCAAATACTGCCCTAATCTGTCTGTCCATCTGCTGTTCCATTTCCTTCTCTTTCCTCCACTACATCTGCACTCTTAAAAATGAGGCCATCTTATTTACCACCCTGGTGCTGGGAAGCTCAAGATGATTTCATATGTATGCATACATATACATACACATATTCCCCTAAATGACAACCAAAACAACAGAAATGAATACTTGTTTCTGTTCTGTGTCAAAGGTCTATCTGGAGCCTTTAGCAGCTGCTCTAAACTCCAACCGTACCATTCTCAACTATGCCGACATCCAGATCATCTTTAACCCTGTGACACAGATACTGGAGCTCAACAGGTGACCACACCCAAACACCCACCAAAATCAATATGTTTGGTGCACACAGTTGTGTGGGCACAAGTTGTCAGCTGTGTGTTTTGGTTGCAGTGTGTTTCAGGAGGATCTCCAGACCAGGCTGCAGCAGTGGGGGCCACAGCAGTGTGTTGGAGATGTGTTTGTGAAACTGTGCTCGCGCCTCAGAGTTTACACCAACTACCTCAACAACTACACCACTGCATTGTGCACCATTGACAAGGTAAATAAGACTGTGGTGTTAAGTATTCAACACACGTCGACATGATGTTTCTGCTGAATTTGATTTGATTGATATTGCTGTAACTGTGTGTGTGTGTGTGTCAGTGTCGGGAGACCAAACCAGCATTCCGTGCATTCCTCAAGAGAGTAGACAGAACTCTTACAACACACATGCTGAGGTACTAATATATAGATTTATATAGACCCATATGACTATGTACAATGGTAACCTACATTTATTCCTTTTGTTTATGTTTTTCTGCAAAAGTGCCTGTAATTTCACTCCAGTCTAGAGGAGCTATTAGCTAAAAACTCTCTCTAGCCATAATATCTAGCCATAATGTCAGCAAGTACAAGGGCAAGGACGGACATTTTTATTTATTATTTTTCTATTCTACCAATGTTTCCATTTTTCTATTCTGCCATACAACAAAGTGTGTCCTTTGTGAAGCCTGCAGGAGCTGCTGCTGTGTCCAGTGTGGAGAATCCAGGAGTATGTGACTCTCCTTCAAGCTCTGTGTCTACACACACTGGACACTCACCCTGACCACACACACCTCTGCTCTGCCTTAAACACTCTTCTATGCTACAGGGGCTTTATACACAAGGTACAGCGCTACCACATACCTGGTACACATGATCCACTGCCCACTTACTCTACTCTACTCTAATTTTATCTACTCTATTCCTAAATCTTTTTTTCTTCGCTCTTCTCTTGCCTACTTTAGACTACACTATACTACACTACTTTTTTTCTGCTCTTGTCTGGTCTGTTCTGACTTTTTTTTTTTGCCAATACTCCAATCTATTTTGCTATTTGCTAATTTACTCTCTTCCAGTCTTGAATGGTATCCTGTTTTCCGCTGAACTCTTCCCCTCTGTCACTTGTACTTGAGTCGGGACCAGGGAAACTATTTTTGTTCATCCCATGTCTAACATGTGTTGCAATGACAATAAAGAACCTTGAGTCCTTGAGTCCTTTTCCTCCTTTAACCTTCTGTATACCTCTCTTATTTATCATATTTATCTCTTTGTTACCCTTCTGTCATTCATTTCAATTCAGCCCATTATACTGTACTCCAATGCTCTTCTCTATTTAATTATCAATCGTCACTACAAGCTGACTTGTATGGTGGTTTTATTTTTTTCTCCTTTTGTAGTTAAAGCGTAACACAGAGAAGGACAGGGTGATGGAGGAAACACAGCAGATGATTCAAGGCTGTCCTGTAAAAACACCTCATTGTTATATATCTCCAAATTATACCCTTGACTTAACAGTAAAAGCAAAGCTTTTGTATGCATTTGTTGCATTTCTGTACAGAACCTTAGTGAACCAAACAGACAGCTTGTCATCACTCAAGATGCTGCTTTACTCAGGAGTCCAGATGAAAAGATTCCAGACTCACTCAGGTACTGCTGAAACTTGACTGCCTCCATTCTAACAATGATGCCTTGACTTAGAAGAAAACATATTCAGTTTTAATATGTGACGTTGTTGCAAACATTCTTGATCAGGACCTTTGAACATGTGGCTGATGTGGGCCTCTTCCTCTTCAATGATGCTTTGTTGCTGACGCGGCGAAATGTGCATCACATACCCTTCACAGTGACCAAACGGTGCACACACACTTTCCTGGCATCTGTGGCCCTCACCAGCCTGACAGTCAGAGAGATCACACACACCCGCTGTACGTCTATGTGAAAAAGTTTAATATTCTCACACTTTTCATTAAATGTCATTAAATGTTCATTAGAGACTCTCTGTGTAGATGTTTGCCATGCCTTTGTCCTGGAGGGTCCTTGTCGCTCCTGGGTCTGTGCCATGGAAAAAGAAGAGATGCGAGATCACTTCCTGTCTGTGTTGCGTTCAACCATCAACTCTGCTCTAAATGAACATCACTGACAGCATCTTGACAAGACTCCATCAAGACACAAGGAGGTTTGGACACAACTTCCTACTTATAAATTACATTCTCTCACAAAAATGACTTTGACCAATGAACAGCGCCACCTGCATGTGGTAAATGGCATCATTGTTTTAAAATTAATTAAATATATTTTCAGTATTTAAAAGGAAATGATGTGTTGTGATTCAATCCCATCCCATGTTACCTTAGTAAGCATCTTTTGCTTCTCTCCAGAATGTTGTGCATATAAAATGGTACAATTTATTATTACTATAAAAATGAGTACGCTCACAGTTTTCTATTTATTAAGGCTCCAAAGTACTAGATTCAAAAAGTAAACTCAAATACCCTAGAATGATTCCTAGAACATTGGCTGAATTACACCTATTGCACTTCTCTGTACTACCTTAAAATTACTGTGTGATACATTCCTTTTAATTCATCATTGAATTTTTCACATAAAAATGTGATTATTCATGAGGAACTGCTTGTTTTGTGTGTTACACCAGGATTAATCTGGTAAAAAAAAATGTTAGTCACTGCCTTGCACAAGTGTTTAGGTCTTTACTTGGCATTTCATGCATCTGTCTTTTCTAAAATATACATAGTTATATACAACTGTTGTTTATTAGTCCAAATCACACCTTTCGAGGTTTCCACATTAAAGAGAAATGCCGTTTTTGTGAACTACGATCCCAGAGAGGGAAGAAAAAGTTTGTATCACAGAAGCGATGTCCAGGTTACTCGATATTACAATAAATTGCTGTATTCAGCGCTGCGGTTAATTTATCGTAACGTTTCTATTATACCGTCAGATAATAATATGCCGGAACTATAGTTAAGTGCAACTCAAACGGAACGAAAACAAAGTTACACAACACCCGCGTGTTGTTGCTTGTGTTGCTTTGTTTTCGGTCCCTGGAAGTTGCAGAAAAGAGAAGTGACCACATGGAGGAAATAGTAGAAGAAGAGTTATTTCCTCGAACATCGCATTACATCAGTCTTGTGAGATTATTTTGGCTAAAGAGGAAAATGACCAGGGTGTCGTCGTGAGTGACGGCCTGCCAGCATTTAAAGTATGCCGTGAAAAACCGGTGAAAGGAGGAAATACGTCCAACATGTTTCATCAGCTGCGGGACAACCAACAGACAATGTTCGCCAAAATAAAGGTAAAGACACACTAACTGGATTTAATAACGTCACTGTTTCCTAACGTAACATTGCATTGGTGAGACTCTAAATGTCATTGTGTCATTTGCAATTAATTGTTTACAAGTAGGCCACGGGTTTGGCTCTTAGTGCAACGTGACAAGTTACAAACATTCCCTTAACGTTAAGTTTTATTGTTCGTATGCAAACATAACATGAGGGCTATAGCTTTTTAATTTCATTTTAACATAATCTTTTTTGTCGGACAGTTTCAGTGTCAGTGTGCAGTGACCTGTAGAACAAAACTCTATTGGTCTGTCTCCTTCTACTTTCTCCCATTCCAAACGTTGGGCTTGTGCTTCCAGCAGTATGGGACATCTGTTTCATGTATTACTAATTTGTGTATGTCAAAAACAAACCAAAATAATATACGTTTTATATGTGACCACATTAAATTAGACAAATGATTAAACTATTGAAATAAACCTAAACATTTGGTATAGATCATAATTGATGACTTAAACATTGGAGGATTAATAATTAGGCCGATATAAATAGATAGTTTGATATACAAATACAAATATTAGGTCAATAATTAGTAATGTATTTATATTTTGTGTGATTGACTTTGCATAAAGATACAAGTCTTGTAGCCCTTCACATCTGTTTTCTGACAATAATACAAAGCACATATGTAGCATATTTTGTTTTATCGTTTACAGAGCAGTGAGGATGCCAGAATTAACATAATACAACATAATCGTTGTATTATGTTAATTCTGCAATAATCTAAAAAGGAAATCTATAATTGTGATATTCCTATATCAGACACAGTGTGCAGTTATTGATCTATACTAAAACCCAATAATCTAATACTATGACAAGTAAAAGGTATTGATAAACATTTGAGATTAGAGTCATTTTTCCTTGTAACACGTATAAAAAAGTATTTATTCATAACCAAAATAACAGAAATAACATTAATTATCATTAATTACTTAAACATTGTCACTACCATTGAGCTTGGCTACAACATGCTAATGTACAATATTGCCCTTCGTTTCATGAGATTTATTTTTTTAATTTTTCACATCCTTAAAAAGCTATAGATTTCTAGCCTTTTATTTATCTGAATTTCACAACAGAGATGGACACAAATGCTACACATGAACACAGGCTTCCCTGCAAATGACATTATATAGCAGCTTTACCTCAAACACAATGGTTTCCTCCATGACTCATTTATTAAACTTGAGTCTTGAGTTTGACCTTATTTCCAAAATGGTTTATATTGTATTGTTACTGGCACATTGAAACAATAAGATATTGTATTTTAGAGCACCACAGACGAGGGTTAGCTTTTCTTTCTTTCTTTTTTTTTATAAAAAAAAACGTTAAAATGTTTTTATGCAAATGAACAAATCCCTCATTTTTGCTTTAGCTTAGCGAAATGTTTCATCCTAGATATGTGAAAAAGAAACATGTCTCTGTGTCGTTACAGTCTGCGATTGGCCAGATTTGGATTGTTGTTGTGAGCCAGTTGAGTTGGGTTCTGGGGCTTCCCTGCCGTCACGTGACTGTGTGGTGGAGGGGGAGTCTTGCTTCGCTGTCCCAATTTTGCTGTTGTGCCGTTTGTCCCTTTCGGGGAGCAGTAGCTTTTCGGTTTGGGGATCTTGGTCGGTCCTGGGCGTCGGAATGATTCAAGAGGTATCTGGAGCAAAAATAAATAAATAAATAAAAGAGAGAGAAAGAGAAAAAATACGTTTATGTAAAATGCTTTGACTCTGAAATATGGCTGTGGCTGAGTTGTTCAGTGGCCCAGTTTTGAGACTATAGATTGTGACCAACAGGGGGAGCCAAATTGTAAATATTGGACAATCATCTAACGCAGTGCCATAGTTGAATAGCAGTACCTATGATAAATAAATATAACAAACCATACAGAGTATCTACTGTTCAGAGGATGTTAATTAGCCTCAGAGTACCAGGGCCAAAAATCACAATTTACGTCACAATGCCTTTACTCATTAGACAAAGTCATGGATTCTTTGATTATCTACATGCCAATGAGTCTATACACTGGGTATGTGTCACATTTGCCTGTGGCAGCTGTAAGATAAGGACAGTTGAATGAATTGATGTAAATGGAAAATTCTGTGTTGTCTCCGAGGCCAGAAAAACATTGTACAAGTGCAGAACAATCACTACATTTCATTTTTTCATAGAAAAAACACATTAAATTATAAAATTATTAAATAGGTTTGGCGTTAGAAAAGAATAGATCTGTTTATTTGTAAGAGGAATAAAATTACATAAAAGAATAGAACAAGTTCATGTTTTCCAGGAGGCAGCACTTGTTTTTGCTGGAGAAAACATAAAAGACAAGCTTGTGTTTTCCAAAATTCTTTAAACAACCTTCATGCTTTGTGGTACAGTCAGGTTTAAATCAGTGTGTTTACAAGAAGCAGTAGCAGCAGCAGCATCGTGTGCAGACAATGAGGTCATAGATTACAGTACATCACTTTTGGACTAGTACAGAACCCGTATCCTGTTTACAGTAAGTGTGATGCGATGTTTCCTTAGGTATGAAGAACACGTCAGCAGCAGTTACGCTGAAAAAAACTAGGCTATGCTTTGCCAAGAGTACAGTTTTTGAGCAACCTAATTGTCATTTTGTTTATTTATTTTTTATAATATCATACCTGAATTTCTATGAAAGCTTACCTACACGATTTGATAACAATCATTTATTTTTGGCTGCAGTTTTAGTTTGCTCGATATGTTTTGTTTTTTTACTAGTTTTTTCTACATTCCTAGCTTACCTCAAGCTATTTCTGGAAATAAACTTTTATTTCCTACCTCCTACCTAACTTGTCTTATTATTTCATGTTCTTACTTTGATTTCTACCTTTAGTTTTTGAACTAGAACTTTTAGTTCTTATTTTGAACTTTGAAATGTTGGCTAATTTCTTAGTAGATTTTCGATCTCAGTTTTAAATTTTTACATAAATAGAAGTATTTCCATGAGTTTTATCACAAACAGTAACATAGTTCCCATTAAAAAATGTTCTTGGGGAATTTTTGATGGGGAGGTTTTGAAAATTAACCCAAATCCCCAGTGAACTCTATCCTCAAATATTCATCTGGATATGAATCAGAACATTAGTAGGGGCCTGTATTTCAGCAGAGTTAATGGGGCAGAAAATGGGTATGGGGGCCCATAGCGTCATATGGGGATTTTGGTTGATTTTCTTCATGGAAAAAAAGAGCCCTTAATGTGCATGTACATTTTTTTTTCTCTCATACATCAGTGTTGCAGCAGGAGTTCAGCTAAGTACTTCCTCCGCTGTGTTAACAGGGCAAGGCAGTTGCCATGACGAACAAACACTGGGTTTGTTTTGGTTGCAGAGGGTAAAAGAACACATTTACAGCATCCACACATTCACATACAGTTCAAAGTCCTTTGTTTATGCCAGTTTTCCCCCATCTTCTTTGCTTTACGATGCCTCATCACCATGTGTCTAAAAATAAGGAAATACATCCTCAGCTACACTTCTACTCACACCTTGAATTTCTAATGTGCTGTTTGGCTTTTCTTTTTCGAGTTTGCTCTTTTTCTGAAACATTGTATTAAATTAATTCTGTTTTTTGACTCCAAACTTTTTAACCCCCTCCCCCTGATGATTAAAACCTCACTTTCAGCCAACCAAAGCAGTCCTTTATCCTCCAGAGTGTCACCTAATCGTCCTTCTGTCAGTCTGGCACAGATCTGCTTCTCTTTCCTCGCCAGGCTGAGCCAGTTGAGTGCACTTAAATGGATGGATAGGGCGCAGAAAGTGAGTCAGGGTTTAATTGAGGTCGCAGACAGTGTTTCCCAGCTGCTGGATGCTTTTCCTCGAGTTTTAATGAATAGCATCTTGTTTTAGCCACTGCATCATTTTTGTCACACTCAGACTGGTGTGGATCCGGTTTCTCCAGCTGCGTTCCTTCCCACTCACTCAATTTAATGCTTCGATTTTATTGTCTCCTCGTTTGTGGGTTTTATTTGCAGCAGTTGTCTCCTTCCATCTTAATGACACAGAGGTTTGAACTTTTGTATAATTACCATTTTTATCTTGTTCAACCATATTTTTGTACCGTCATAGTGTAGGGTGAATTAGTGCGCATCCAATGGTGGGTTGTTACCCAAAGAAGTTATTAAAGAAACTGGATTAAATTAGTTTTAGGTATGGATAAAAAAAGAGTTAGACTTGGGTTTTCTTTTACTTCATGAACCTCAGCAATTTTGTTCTTAAGTAGCTTATTTAATAAATTAACACAAAGCTAGTTAGTGAAAGCCAAAAACTAAAGAAATCGTACAAAATATTAACAGGCTCGATGTAAGACAAAAAATAAACAAAAATAAATATTGGAATATATAGAACGATATATTCAAGTAACTAAAAGTTAGCTAATATTAACTAAAATTAGCCTGTTAAAATATATACATTTTTTAAAAGAAAGAACTAATAAACCACAAAAAGTCAAGTACCTGACAGTATGTACAGTACACCTGTACATTTATAACAGATGTTATACTACATATATTTTATTAAGACCTCGCCATATAGGTTTATTTTTCTGAGATTACAAATACCAATGTTGCCTAATGAAGTGGTTTTTTTTTAAGGCTGCAGTGTTTTTACTAAGGACACGTTAACATTCAGAAACTATTTAAGATATTAAAGCCACAGACATACACATGGTGTATTTAAAACTACAGGATTGACTCTAAAATTATTTTAAATACATTAACAGTCTGTTTTTTAAAAGTCCACTGCAGGTCTGTAATTTTACCAACTTTCATCTTTTCTAAATACAAAACTCTGATCCAAAAGCAACATCGTGCACCAAATCTCCAAGGTTTAAAGGTTTAGGGAAGAGTTTCCACTGTATCATTGAAGAAAAACAAGCTGCTCATTCTGGGTCACTGTTTTTTTTCCTTTTTCTTCTACGGCCGATGAAAATGAAAAAAACAAAACAAAACAAAACAAAAAAAACATGACATCAGCAGGAGAACATTTGTGAGGACCTTATGAGTTTGGTGATAATATAATGGGATGTTTATGGTTAAACCTGATATGATTTTAATTTATTTATAGTAAATTAAACTTCTGAGTGTTAAATAGTTACTGTGCATGCATCAAAATATATAACAAAAAACAAGGCAAACTAATGATTTCAATTGCATTTTCTTGTAATTGGTAATTAATATTTCTGACTTTTAAACAACCAACAACATGCCGGATTTTAGTGAAAACAAAATAAGGTTGGCAAGCACTGGATGACAGACTGAACAAAAACACTTTCTTTTTTGCACACTTTAATATTGGGAGAGACAGACAGACAATGTAATTGTGATGCACTTGTGTAATATGAATTGTATAAAAACTGATATATGATACATCAGTGTGAGTAGGCTGACTATATGGCACAAATGTGCCACCTGGAGTACAATACAGTAAGTGCACATAAGTTAAAATCATACCTGGTGTGGTGTCAAATAAAGTGTGTTCTTTTTTTCATGCAGGCAAACAATGGTTTGACTTAATCACACAGAACCAAGCAAGTCAACCAACCAACCAAAATAAAAATGACAGACATTCAAACTTCAGTTTAAGCTCAAGCATCAAAGAAAATGTCTAGAGTTTGGGGTTGTGGGGTCTTGGATGTAATGGGTAGATTAAGTAACACAGGATGGGATGAAGGAATTTGGTGGTTTTCGGGTCAGTCGTTACTTACTGTAATCTGTGATGGCCTTTGGATTGGGCTGGAGGTGGGCTTAATCATGATGCTACTTGTGATTTTGTTGTTGACCTTGGTGTGAGTAGGCGTGCTGCAGTTTGCCAGCACCTGAGTCCTTGGCTCTGGGAGTCCGGGTGTGTGACACGGACTCAGCGTTTGTGTTGTGCTGCTAATGCTCTGAATGAAAGGGGAGCCTAAGTGAATGTGGATTTTGTTGTCTTCTGTGGTTATGACATTTGGTCCCGAGCTGTTGGACCTCTGTACCTGCCAGTTGCCTGCTTGTTGTCTTTCGGGGGTGACACGGAAAACTGCGTGTCCTCCAACAACCTCCACGGGCTCTGTGGAGAAGGAGCGATCAGGGGTGCCTGTGGTGACTGACACAATCTGTATAGGGGACATGGCTCTGTCTGGTGTTAGAGAACCACAGGAGTCTGGTGTCATTGCTCTGGAATATGCCATCATAGTGAAAGGTGAGAGGGCCCTGTCTGGAGAACACAGCTCCTCAGACACAGGGGAACCCTTAGATTTAGTTGTAGGGGAAACTGATTTTGCATTTGGGGAAAGAGAAGCATTATGGATGATGGTGATTCTCTGTTTTGGTGGACCTCCACTAGTAGGTATGACAGCAGTGCTGGTGAAGGACTGGGTGCTTTCAGCAGTTGGGCTGGTTATCTCCAGTGTTGCGATGTTGTGTCCATGGTCTGGTGTAACTTTAATATGCAGAGGTTGACCAGGGCTGTGGGTCAACACTACATCTTCAGACTGCACGTGGTTGCCGTTTTGCCGAGGTTGCACTTTACCATTTACCTGAAGAGTGCCGTCCTTGTTTGTAAGGAATGGGACACGTGCTCTTCTCATGTTGTTGTTTAGGTTATTGACATTGTTTATCATTGAGGTGCTACATTTGGGGAGCTGGAGCTCATTGCTATAATTTGCATTCTCCTCAGATTCACGCTCATCATATAGTTTGCCATTAACCACAGCACGTTCCAGCGGTGCTGCCATCTTGCAATCAAGTGGCACCAGATCCAGTGGATCAGTCTGAACTTCCTTAGTGGAGACATGGAGGTCTGAGAAGCGTCTACCACTCATTCCAGGACGAAGACTTTTGCTAAATCGCCTGTACCTTTCCAGTTCTCGGTTGAGCGTCTCCATTTCCCTCGCCAGCTCTTTGTTTCTGACCTCCTGCTGGGTCAGTTTCCGCTGCAGTGTAGAGTGGTCGGTCTTCATGCGACAAATCGAATCCTCTGTTCCCATGTAGTCATGAATTTTCTCCTTGAGAGCTGCAACCTCCCTGGTCAGATGGCTGGACTTTGCCTCTTCTTCCTTAAGGCGCTTGTAAAGGACATGCTCTTGGTTGCACTCTTTCTTCTCAGCAAGTTGATATTTGGAAATTTCCCTTCTGGAAGCTTCCAGCTCTTCCATCAGTGCTTTGGCTTTTTCTTGTTCATTGTTGAATTTCTTCTCCAGTGATTCAAAGTCCTCCGTTTTTAAGGAATCACTTTCCACCACTTTCATGTCCGTCAGTTTACGCTTGAGGCGTTCAACTTCCTGCGTCAAATCTTTGACTTTGTTATCCTCCTGTTGGAAACGGTTAGCGATGGGGCTCTTGATGTGCTCCTCCTTGACTTTGCTCCTCAGGTATTCCCTTTCTATGGTCTCCAGTGATTGCAGCCTTTTCTTCATCATGTTGATCTTTGAATCCAAGTCTTTGCTTTTTTCCTCTTCGACCTTCAACTTGGCTTTCAAGTCATCTCTTTCCTTTGTAGCACTGCACATTTTCTCTTCTAGCTCAGCCTTGGACCTAAGTGCTTTCTTGCTCTCCTCAATGAGCTTCTCTGTGACTGATGTCACTTTGTCTTGCTCTGCCTGAAGTTTGCCAGTGCTGTTTTGGACCTTGTTCTCCATTTGTTTCAGCCTTTCTGCCATTGACTTCCTCTCATCCACCAGCATGACTGTCAGAGTTTTTAACTTAGTTAAATCTTCCTTCAATGTCTGCTCTGTTTTTCCAAGCTGGGTTTCAGATGCTTCCATTTCCTTGACTCTTACTTTAAGAGTCTCCAGCTCACTGCTCAGAATCTTTGACACTGTCTTCTCCTTCTCCAGGTTACTTTTGAGTGAGTTGCACTCCTGCATGCTCTTGGTGAATGCATCCTCCAGTTTTTCCAAGTCCATTATCCTGTGGTTCAGCTTATCAACTTCAACCTTCAGTCCTCGACTTTGGTTGGCCTCCTTCTCCAGTTTCTTGTTGAGGTCCCTGCAGTGGTCCTCCATTCTGATCAACTCTTCATCTTTCCCCTCCATCTCAAGAACCCTTTTTCGCAGTTCTTCAAGCTCAGACATGAGGCTAGAATTTCCACACTCACTACGGCTAATTTTATCCCTTAGCTCTTGCAGTTCGTCCTCTGCTCTGCGCAGGGTTTTGTTGGTCTCCTCCAACTCATCCAGCTGCCTGCTGAGGGCAGACAGCTTCTGGCGCAACTGCCTGCTCTGGACATCCTCGCTGGTCAGTTTGGCAGTCATGGCTTCTTTTTCCAGATGGTATCGAGAAGCTTGGTCACGCAGATCAGATTCCAGGCGAATCACCTTTTGCTCCTCCTCCAGCAGACGGGCATTAGCGGAACTCAGCTCTTCCTGGGTTTTTGAAGCACTGGCAGTCAGTTCTTGTACTTTTGCTGTTTGTTGATTCAGGTGTTCAGTGAGTCGCTGCTGTTCATCCACGACCATCAACGCAAATGACTTGAGTTTTGTCAGCTCTTCCTTCAAGCCTGTGATTTTTTTGTTGTTCTCCTCATCTTTACGTTCCTGGTAGGCTTTTTCCTGGTCAATTAACAGCTTCAATCTGAAAGAGAAAGAAAGACTATAGTTAAATTTAGGCGGCCCAATGAAGATTTCAATGTATGATTTTAACACGTAGACATTAGTCTCTACTCCAGGTGCACTTTGATTTCGCAGCATCTCTACTCCTACTGCCATTTTCCTTCAGTCATCTCTAAATGATTGCATAAACTCTTTATTTTCCTGGTTTTATTTTCTGGCAACATTTAAAGTGTGATGTCATGAAAGGTTTAACGCATTATAAACTTCTTTCAGGTTGGTAGTCTATAATACGTTTGGTGTTGCCAAATATTTTTTCATACAGTTTGGGAAATCTGAGTCCAAGCTGCACATATCCATCCTTTATTTTAAAAATTGCTGCAATTCCAACACTAATTTCAAGGGTTTACCATGAGTTCGGTAAAGTTTTTTTGGGGACTAAGAAAGAAAAAAAAACATGACAAGTTCCAAAATGTTAAACTCTGAGATGATCAAAGCCGCAATCTTGTAAATCTTTTTTCCAAACAGTTTTGTAAAAGGCTTTAACCTTTTGGTTTTATCTTTTTGTGCAAACAATTAGCATAGATAACTCTTGGTGTTTATGTGTTTCTTTCACAATGTTAATTCAAGTTTGATTTATTTCTGTTTCAACAATAAAATGCATGAACAATATTTATCCCTGACTTGAGCTAACAAAAGTTTGCCCTAACTCTAGAACCACTAGTAGTTGTTTAAATCTAGTGCTACAGCATATAATTTATTGTTGTAAACACAACATGTTAACCTATGCTGCACTGGAGACACTGGACTCAGCTAAAAGACCACCAAAGGACAAAGTGCCTACTTCCTGAGTCCTGGTGATGTTGTGGCTGCAGTGTGTCTGTATGCACGTATACAGTATGGGTGCTTGTGAGCAGCTGCGGGGCATTTCCACACAGATGCATGGAATGATCCTTTAATGAAGAGGTTTCTCTACCAAAAACCACCTCCACCCTCATCCTCCGCCTTCTCCTGTATTTACATTTAAAGGAATCCCCCACTTTATTCTAAAAGGAATTACATAGACATGGGGTTTACTCTCAACTCCACACAGACACAGACACAAACCATGACTGAGCTGTTGGCGAGTGGCTCGCTTCTTAGAAGTTGATGATGTTTACATATCACTGTTTTCTTTAGCAGCTGCTACAGGGTGGGGTCAGACTGCAGGACATATGTACAGTACCGAATCACCGATGTTAAACTGTTAAACTAAGGCCATATGACACATAAATAATTATTAAATAAATCAAGAATATCTCTGGCAGGTATGAGAACTGCTATTGATGTGCCTACTAATGCTCTGAAACAGGGTTTCTGTGTTTCAAGTAGCAAACTGTAATTATACATTAGGGCTTCCTGTTTAACAAAGCATGTGCCGTTCAGCCAAGGGGCAGCATTTTTTACTCTTCTTGTATTACTCCTCAGATGAAAGATGTATCAAACTGATTAATATCAAATCAATCGTGTGACAAAAATAAAGAAATTTTTTTTAAATCTCTAAACTAATCCAGGGAGTTTCACAAAATACTAGTATAGTACTAATATAGTACTAAAAAGAAAATAGGGGTGTCACTATTGTCAGATTTTTGTTTTTAATGTTTGCCCTGACTTTTTAAAGCGGTGACACTCAATTTATTTCTTTTTTTATTCAGTCATCGAGTTGTTTTCTCAGACGACAAAAGTTAGAGAAACAGTAAGTGAAAGTCTGCAAGTCTCACATAAACCCTTCTCTTCCCTCTAATCACTGTTTGTTTAAGCTCTTATCTAAGTCTGCTCTGTTTTTCTGGTGAAGTCATCAGCTGAAATAGAAACAGAAATGTACTTTGACTCCCTTACTACACTGGACACTGGATATCCCAGTTGGGCTTTAATATACTGTATGTCAGCCATTAGAAGATGTAAGTCCTATAGTATGATTTTAAAGTATCATTTAAAAAAAATCAGCATAAATCAGCTGACAGTGGGTGTTTGCTGTGAAAAAAAGGCTAATATGGATGAACACAGGGGTCTCATAAATTACGTACTAAATCTATCGAGTATTTGCCCAAATTTCCATCCTTGTCATGCTTTATCAGAGGGCGATAAAGAAACACTAGTCTGGAACTGAAAGAACATACTTTAAAGGAATTCATTTTTCAGTGCTGTAAACATGGGCGCTAATATTCTTTTAAATATTATTTCAAGGCACCATATACCACCCACACTGCAGCGAGGTACAACAAGCAGAGGGTCACTAAATTATGACTGACCAAAACTGTGAATCCGTAACTCTTCATGAAAAACAATATATATTAACCTTTTCCAGGCTGCAGCAGCACGGCTTCACAGACTGGGTATCCCCACACTTTACACGTGGCTCCTGCTGCTGGAAACTGTTGCTCACACACTGCCTAAGGTTTTCTTACATGTTCCATATGTCAGGGTCACCGTTACCTAACCACAAGTGATTAGTGTTGATACAATACTTGTACAGGGCGATGATGTATACTGTTTATACACCTCATATCAACTGCCCCTAGAGGGCAATTTACGTATATGAAATATGTAGCTCAGATATTTATTAACTCCCTGATAGTTATGTAAAGCTCACTAGAGTACCGTTTTGTAAGAGGAACATATGTGATTTTTATTCAATGAGGTATTTTTTGGCTTAAACATAAAAAATATGATAAATATAGTACAGAGCTCCAAAGGGCAGTCGAGCTGTAAACCTCTTGTTTTCCAAAACCCTGCCCCTCTATAACAAAAATTATAAAATTGACAACTTTAAACCTACAGAAAATTTTGCTATTAGATTTATTGCACACCACATACATTAGCCTGTATTGAGACAACCCTGTACTCATACGTACTTAACTAATCTGTACTGCCTGACACTTCATTTTAAACAGCCACATGCTTTAATGGCACATGCTAAAAATTGTTTTCACTTTATATGTTTTTTGTAAAGTAAACCAATGAACTTAAACTCTATGTTGTACACTGCTAGCTTTTTTTTGGCTACTGTATAATTTTTTTAACCTTTTTATTTATTTATGCTATGGCTGGGCTGATTTTTGTAATATATTGTGAAAAAAATTGTTTTTCACAATATATTACAAAAAGGGGAACATCTAACATTTTTAATTTTTAACCTAATTTTTTATAAGAAATTTAAATATGGGCAAACTTTTCCCCATATTTGAAAAGTTTTTTGCAATAATATTGGCTATTTGAGGGCTAACTGTTGACATGTTTATACCTACTGTAAAACTTAAAAAAAAAAGAGCTAAAATAATTTGTAGAAATCACTCGACCAGAAAATTTAACATAAAAAAGCCATTTGCAATGGAACAGGGGAAAGAAAACCAACATTCTGAATTCAAATACCACCTTTAAAGTTTGGCCAATAATGCCTCGCGCCACAAAGTTTTACTTCTAGAGGCATAAAAACATTGTTTTGTTAAAATTTCTCACGTCACAGTTTCTTTAACGCTTGAAACGACTTAAAGTCCTTGAATTGTAAACTAATAAAAAAAGTTAAAAATAATTTGTAAGCCATAGTAACCCTAATATTGAATCCCACACTCCAATATGACATAAAACATGGAATAAATCATGAAAACATTAAATAATGCTGAAATTTTAACGGTATCAAAAGAATGACAAGACTTTACAAAAAGTCTGGAAAGTTTTGGCTAAATTTTCGGATCAGTGTTCCTACCTGTTTTGCCACGGCTTCACTGCTTTAGGACAGCTTCCACTCTCTGCATGTGTCTCACTCTGCTACTAGCTGTAATGTGGGCATTCCTTCACTCAGACCAAACAATAAGGGATGTGCTCCCTGCCTATGGACCATTACATCATCAGCATGCCCTTATATGGCATTTTGCACTGCAGAGGCTTGCATGAAGGGGGTGTGCTTGCTCGAGTGGTGTGCGAACACTGGAGTAAGTCTGCTGAAGTGATTGTTTGACTTAGGGATGTAACAGAGATGAGGGAAACGACGTCGTTGACGTATGTAATGTGTGAAATATCTGCCTTCTTCGTCAATGCTCCGGAGGCAAAGAAGTAGGTACAGAGAGGGAGGGGTCAACTTAAGTCACTCATTCAATCTAAAAAGGAGGAATAAGAGGAGAGGATATGGGAAGGGGAATGCAATATTTATGTGAAGTTTTTGGATTACAAAATATCTACCCTAGATTCCTGGCTAAAATGCATATATATAGAAAGACCACACCAACAGTTATTCCCTGACATTTGGAATTTTTACGAAAATTATTTATATGCAAATACTTCTGCTGATTGAAATCTAAGCACAGATGTGTGTCTGTGTAGTTTCAGGGAAAAATGCCAGACCTGAGAACATGCTGTTTCTGTCTAAGACACAAGGTTTTCAATGAACATAAGTCAAAATTTCTGAACAGAGTTGTCTTTAATTTTTACAGTCCTTTATGCAAAAGAAAAATATATACAAAAAGAAATATTAAAAGGTAGTAAACAACAGAAAGAGTGGAGAGCAGCTGATGTTTCCTGGCATGGTGGGAAAATGGGGAAATGAGAAACTGTCTGTCACGCACAATGTTCTCTCCTCAAATAGGGTCATGGATTACAAAACTACCAGCATTGCCTATTGAAGTGGAGCCTAAAGTAGTGATTATGAGCATATGTTCCTCTGGAATAGGTTGATTGATTTGATAATTTGAGCAGGATGTTGGATTTTTTTACAGATAAATTGAAGCTTGATGAAGGTTAAGACTATAGATACTGTAGTTACTCCAGGCTCATTTAGTGTATACAATGCAAACTAAGATCTGTATTGTGCAACACAAGCTCAGTAGTCATTCTTGATGGATAAATCAAACATATTGGTGTCTAAAACTTTTACTTACTGAGTTTTTTTGCACTTGTTTTTTTATTTGTAAGTGACATTGAATATTTCCATCACATTTGGGGTTTGAGAATCTGATGGATCCTGAACTGCATTCAGGTAGCATTCTTTAA